AGCCATCCTCCTACCTCAGCCTCCCAAGTAGCTGGGACTATAGGCGCCAGCCACCACACCTGGCTAATTTTGCATTTTTTTAAGAGACAGGGTTTAGCCACATTGCCTAGGCTGGTCTGGAACTCCTGAGCTCAAGTGATCTGCCCGCCTTGGCCTCTCAAAGTGCTGGGATTACAGGCGTGAGTCACTGTGCCCAGCGGGGCTTTCTTTAAATCTGTAAATTCCTGTTGGTTTCTTGAAAGGTCAACTCCCCCAACACTGGAGACAGTTCGTTCCAAACAGGAGTGGGAGACAAGACTGAATGGAGTTCGGATAATGAAAAAGAATGTTCGTGTAAGTGTATTTATGAGTCATCATTCAGTCAGTGTTAGTCTGTGCTCAACACTTCCCGCAATCGGGAGATAGCCTTTTACATTGCCATTTAGGGCAATGCAACTACTATTCCTTTAATAGTTTTCCTGATAATGGATGGTGCTGTCTTTCTAGAGAGCCTCAGTCAGTTCAGCAGTAAAAATAATCTTTTTTTTTTTTTTAGGACCAATTTAATAGTCATATCCAGTTAGTGAGGAATGGAGCCAAGCTGAGCAGCCTTCCTCAAATCCCTACTCCCACTTTACCTCCACCCCCATCAGAGGTAAGAGAGCTGGCTTTTGGGGGGAAGTTCACCTTTCTGTGTTGGTAGCAGAAGCAGAGTCTTTTACGTGTTCTTTTTATGAAGATATTGGGATCATCCCTATTCAGTGCAAGAGTTGTTCATTGATTTCTTCTCCAGTTTCGTAAACTTTCTTTTTCTTCCTTTCTCTCTTGTCCTCTGCCTCTTCTCCTCTGCAGACAGACTTCATGCTTCAGGTGTTCCAACCCAGTCCCTCTCTGGCTCCTCGGATGCCCTTCTCCATTGGGCAGGTCACAATGCCCATGGTTATGCCCAGTGCAGATCCCCGCTCGTTGTCTTTCCCAATCCTGAACCCTGCCCTTTCCCAGCCCAACCAGCCTTCTTCATCCCTTCCTGGCTCCCATGGCAGAAACAGCCCTGGCTTGGGTTCCCTTGTCAGCCCCCATGGTCCACACATGCCCCCTGCCGCCTCCATCCCGCCTCCCCCAGGCTTGGGTGGCGTTAAGGCTTCTACTGAAACTCCCCGGCCCCAGCCAGTAGACAAACTGGAGAAGATCCTGGAGAAGCTGCTGACTCGGTTCCCACAGTGCAATAAGTAAGTATCTTCAAGGACTGATTCAGATGTCTTTATCAGAGAAATGCTTATGGGTTAAAATAGAGGAGGTTACATGGGTGTTCCCTGGGGGTATAGTGTAGGCTTTCTCTCCCTCAACGTTTTTCTTTCTCAGGGCCCAGATGACCAACATTCTTCAGCAGATCAAGACAGCACGTACCACCATGGCAGGCCTGACCATGGAGGAACTTATCCAGTTGGTTGCTGCACGACTGGCAGAGCATGAGCGGGTGGCAGCAAGTACTCAGGTGAGAAAAGCCACTTGGGAGAGAACTGAGGCCTGCTGAGGGCTGGGGAAGAGGTAGATTTCTTGTGGGGAGGGAAGAAGCATTCCAGTCAGAGGTGGCTAGTTTGTTTTTTTCCTTTGCTGGACTGGGAAATAAGTGATTTTTGTGATATGCTCTGTTACTCAGACTCTCTTCCCTTACTCTGACAATGTTTCTACCTACAGCCACTTGGTCGCATCCGGGCCTTGTTCCCTGCTCCACTGGCTCAAATCAGTACCCCAATGTTCTTGCCTTCTGCCCAAGTTTCATATCCTGGAAGGTCTTCACATGTAAGACTCTTTTTCTTTGAACACTGTGATATGGAGAAGCTGGAGGTGAGGAAGGAGTGGGTTTATAGGTGGAGTGCAGGAAGAAACCATCAGTTGGGTTATTTGCAGCCCTACTGGGAAAATGCAAATATTTTAGGCAAGAATCTATATTTGGATTTTTATTTCTTTTGATATAAATCTTTTTGCTACATGGAATTATGGGCATAAAAGGCAAGAAGACCCAGAGGTTCCTTACCTTTTGACCATGCCGCCTCTGTTCTACAGGCTCCAGCCACCTGTAAGCTATGTCTAATGTGCCAGAAACTCGTCCAGCCCAGTGAGCTGCATCCAATGGCGTGTACCCATGTATTGCACAAGGAGGTAGGTGTTACAGACCTTCCTCATTGTCTACGCTTTCTCTTCTGACAGCTAAAATAATTTTTCTTTCTCATTTTCTACTCTTTTTTTTCCTGATAGCTAAAATAACTTCTCTTTTACTGTGTTGGTGCTTTTTTTTTTTTTTTAGACAGAGTCTTGCTCTGTTGCCCAGGCTGGAGTGCAATGGTGCGATCTCAGCTCACTGCAACCTCTACCTCTCAGGTTCAAGTGATTCTCCTGCCTCAGCCTCCTGAGTAGCTGGGACTACAGGCGCCTGCCAACACGCCTGGCTAATTTTTGTGTTTTTAGTAGAGACGGGGTTTCACCGTATTGGCCAGGCTGGTCTCAAACTCCTGACCTTGTGATCATCCCATCTCGGCCTCCCAAAGTGTTGGGAGTACAGGCGTGAGCTACCGTGCCCAGCCTTTTTTTGTTTGTCTTTTGAGACAGGGTTTTATTCTGTTGCCCAGACTGGAATGCAGTGGCGTGATTATAGCTCACTACAGCCTCAATCTCCTAGGCTCAAGGTGCTTCAGTCTCTTGAGCAGCTGAGACTACAGGTACATGCCATCATGCCCAGCTAATTTTTTTTTCTTTTTTAGTAGAGACAAGGTCTTGTTATGTTGCCTAGGCTGGTCTCAAACTCCTGGGCTCAGGTGATCCTCCTGCTTCAGCCTCCCAAAGTGCTGGGATTACATGTGTTAGCCACTGCACCTGGTCTCTAATATCTAATCATAAGGTTTTCAGTAAATTGTGGCTTAAACACTAGCAGAATTCAGAATACTGCAGTTAGGATCTCTCAACTTTTTACCCCATTCCCTTCAAGGGACTGGATAAGCAATTCATACTGAGCACTAAATCACTTTCCTGGAAAATTGACAATGAGTGATAATCCCACATATCTAACTATTGTTCAAAATATAGCATTGTCAGAAGACTTTGCCTAGATGAGAGGAATGGAATGGAGGACCTGAGTATGAGATTAGTAACTCCATTACAGAATAGCTTGGAAGGCTTGCCGGTTAGAGATTATCTTCACAGGCTGACAAGTCATTCCTATTTTTTCATGTTGCCAGGCAGAGTTAAGTCTCTTAGTAGCAGGGATGATTTCCTCTTAACCATTTTGTTTTGTTCATTTTGCTTTTCCAAGAGGTAGAAACTGAATTTACATCTAAATTCTTAGTAAAAAAAATTCCTGAATAAGATTTGAGGGTGTCAGGTATTAGAACAGAGACGTTCATCTCAGGCGAAATGGATCCTAAGGGGGAGCAAGCCACACTAGACATTCAACAAAAAGCAGCATCATGAACACTTTCATCAGCTCATTGTTAATGTTCCTCTTAAAAAGGTTCACTTAGGCCGGGCGTGGTGGCTCAAGCCTGTAATCCCAGCACTTTGGGAGGCCGAGACGGGCGGATCACGAGGTCAGGAGATCGAGACCATCCTGGCTAACACGGTGAAACCCCGTCTCTACTAAAAAATACAAAAAGCTAGCCGGGCGAGGTGGCGGGCGCCTGTAGCCCAGGAGGCGGAGCTTGCAGTGAGCTGAGATCCGGCCACTGCACTCCAGCCAGGGCGACAGAGCAAGACTCCGTCTCAAAAAAAAAAAAAAAAAAA